CTAGCTTTTGTTTCCTCAATGACGACCTCAAGAAGGGACAAGGCCAGTAAAAAACCAATATCTTCTTGATTGTCTATCATAAATATCTTTAGATAAAAGCTGTTTTTTAGGCCGATGTGACTGTTTAGCAATTTAGTTTCTCTTTCTGACGAAGAAGCAGTACTTTTACAGCAGGTTAACTAACTTCAAATTGAGAATAATTGATAGTAAGGTGTCAGTACAGTTATGGATTTGCATGCTGGATCTCATTGATGTATTTAGCCTTTTAATCATGTGATCCTCACTCTTAGGCATGCGTATCAATCGAGTTGCAGCGTCACGTTTCGGCATGAGATCTCCAATTGGACCTTACGACAATTTATGTCCTCTTAATAACTATTCAAACTTCGAAGCGCCTCTCGTATCTGCAGGAAGCGTGCAAAAGGACACAAACCGCATCTCTGTTGGTTTGGAGCGCGTTTTCTTGTCCAAACAAGGAAGAAGGGATGTACTAAACCGATTATTGCGCTATAAGCTGGGTCGAGGCATATAATTTGTTACAAGGAAAGCAAAATTATGTACAAAGTGTTTGCTGATTGGAGTCAATTAGCAAACGCTTTTACTCCTGTAGGTCTCTGCCGAAACCTAAATCGCAAGAAGTGTGCTTATTCTCATAAAGTTTCGAAGAATTTACATCATTAAACTCCTTGCTGAGCATTTTTTTCCAAATCTGGAAACTTTTGTAGGCTGTTTGTTTGGAAAAAGTGATTTGGGTAATTAGATAGCCATCGTAGACGGTTAAAAAGAGCATTGGAGAAGGGAAAGAACGGGAAACTAAAATTTCTCCTACTTCTGGGATTCTGAACGATTTCCCCTCTGCTTTTCTCCTCAACAATTTCTAGCCTGCCCTCCGGAGATATGCTGTCAAGTTCTACTAAGGGTCCTTCATTATTACACTGCTACGCTTCGCGCTGGAAGAGGGTGTCGACTTCCGAGCGTCAAAGGATCCCACCTTTACAAAAAGTGGGATGTTCATTCCTCCTAGCGAAGAAGAATAGAATGACCTACTAAAGGAAATCAATTTAGTCTCGAAAATGGGACTGCTGTTTCGGATTATCAGTTCTACTAAATGGGGATCTATTTTAAACCAGTTCTTATAAGCCGCAACTCTTGTTCACTTCAAAAAATACAAGATTGTCACTCAAGTTTAGCCTTTTTTACCGCTAAAATTTACACACAGTTCGATCAAATATTGATACTCAAGAACACAGAAGACAAAACTGCCTCTCAAATGTGATTATACAAATATATGGGCCCGTTATTCACAAAGGATTGTGGGCCTGTTTTATTATAAATATCCTCTTATTCTAGTGTTGAAACCGTAATGAATTTCTTCTCAGTAATAGCAGGATACGCTGTTTCAACTTGCAGCAACCTTTTCTTCTGCAAGGATTTCATAAGACAGAAATTTTCTCGCTAACCTTCGCATGTGAAAGCATTCCCAATGGGAGCAAGGTCTTGTGAAGTCGCCCCCCAACCATATTCTTCACATGTTAATGTTGCTGTTACAACTGAGACATCATCAAACTCTCCAGCTAACTGAAATTGCTCCTCCATCTGGGCTCTTCTTTGCATTTCAAATACGAATATTATATACAAACCATGCTGCCCTCCTCAAAGTTCGTGTTAACTTCGATAGCTGCATAACCGCCTCCAACGCAAGTTATAGATAGAACAGGGCAAGCATCGGAACTTATCTCGAAGTACATGTTATTTGAGACAAGACCGCCGAACGCAGTGGGACCATCTCCAATAACAGGCATCGTGCAATCGGTCGCACAAGCTAAACATGGATAATCGCTAGGATGCCGCTAACTTTACCTTCATTCCTGATTCATTTAAAACTATTCAGAAAAGCGGATTCTTGTGAAGTGTGGTTTAGTCGGTGATCATAGCTTGTTCTCACCTTGTCTCTGAAAAGTGTAATCTGTGTGCAAATCTTGATATGTGTAAGGACTTCCCTACCCTGCGTCGCCGAATTGTGTCGCCCGATAATCTAAAGTAGTCGTAGGCAGCTGGATGTACAGGTACAAGGCTCACATTCATCCCTTTGTGTTTATTATATAATTTCGTGAATTCTCGCAGTATAACAGCTTGCCGCTGCAAATTCTACAATTGGACAAACACGACAACCATGAATGTGCACTTACTGTTTCGCCTTGCAGAACTTTCAAGTTTATATCGTTGCTGACGTCGCTTTCGGGCAGTGCGACTGCCACACATACTAAAAGCAACTGCAACAATGTTGACGGCCATTGTGTTGCCATTTCACCCTTGAGTTTGACTCTAAAGTTTATTTGCTATGCGCACACCCAACGAAATGATGAACGTAAAAAATAAATGCCCAAACGGCAACATCAAAAATAGAGGAATTGAGAGCAAATTTTCGCGCAGTTTCGAGGAGTACGTAATGCTCTTAGGGAATGCCTCCAATTTATTAAATATGCTTCGAATTGTTACTCATTTACAAGCAAATACGAACTTAGGTCCATGAAATGAGGTGAAGGACCTTTACACATTCCAACAGCAGCTTCCTACGTAGGCAGATTGATTTTTTTTCAAATAATAACTTCAGCTAAGACCGCGAATATCTGTAAAGCGAGCGTTATCTCTATAGCTGAGTTTCCTTACCCAGCTTACAAGTAAAGGCACGGAGAGAGGTCTGAGGTATATGTTTTTCTAAAAAGCACGCAAAAATGAAATCAGTTCGAATCACGTTGGTCTGGTGAAAGGGCGATGTCTGAAAGACGTATCCAAAAATTGCGGTTTAATAGGCGGCTTTTCAAGCGTACAGTGTCGCACAGCACCTGAACAAGCATAGCCAAAATGCTCTAACAAGATGTGTTGCATTCCAATCATAGAGCGACAGATCTCGGAACATGGATCAAATCTGTT